ATTCGAAACGGTATAAGAGCTACAATTAAGGTCGATCAAATCAGAAAAAAATTGCCTTTTTGGATGCCCATTCAAGACTCGTTTGCGGTGTTGCCAAATTCCTTTTAGTTTATGAAGTACAGAGTGATTTCTGAAAAACTCCTAAAAATATTTCATCTATTATTTCGAAAACTATTGATTTTCAAGACATAATTTGAATTTGACAGTTTTATAATTTTTTTTGATCTACAAAATGGCATTTTCAAATTTTAAATCCGACGTTTCGTGATCAAGCTACCATCATCAATTTCATTTTTCTAAATGCGGACCTTAATGCGGACCTGTCATTTTTAGAAAGAGCCCTTTATTTCATTTTCAACGATATACCTAGTATGATTGGCCGACGTTTCTGCTCTAAAAAGTGATCATCAGCTAAAAGGAATTTGGCAACACTGCAAATGAGTGTTGGGCATCCAAAAAGGCAACTTTTTTCTAATTTAACCGACCGTGTAGCTCTTACCGTTTCGGATATACTGGATATAGCAATAAAGCAATAATAGTGGTATATAACACCTAAAATATACACCCTGTATATGGTTTAACTACTTTCAATTAAGCCGTTTTGGAAATATCTGGGTCTAAACTTCAAGAAATAATACATACACATCAGCTCTGTTTCACCAACATGAGAACCATCTAGAACGGTAATTTTAATCTTCACATAACCCCTGTAGTGGGAGGGTCAATATATGAGGAAAGACCCTATACAATTATTCAACCTCTGTGTACTAAACATACACTACGGATTGCTTATCAACCTCGTTTTTGGTAATCACTGCCATATTGGTGTGTCACGGTGTCACCATTTCCGATTTCATAACTAAGTCGTCAGCTGTTCGCACTAGCGATCGTAGTTTAGAATTTAAATTTATGAAGAAAATTATTATTTAATTTTGATTAACATAATAGGCAAAGAGGAAATGAAAAGAAGACCTGAAAAAGGGTTGTTTTAGATTTTAGAGTGTTAAATAAATGTAGTAGAACCAAGTATACATGAAGCAAAGCAAAAGCCCGCGGATCATAACCTGTGGTGCAGTGTTGTCAGGCCTAAAACTTCTAAATCATGAAATTTGAGTCATTAAAAACATGAGATTTTTAAAATAGCTGAATCTGAAAACATGAGGGGCCATTAAAAAATAAATAAAAACAGTTGTTTAAAACTCGTGATCTTGCTTCATACCATCTTTGGTAACAAAAAACAATCAAAATAAATCAAACTATCGACGAAAATACATCACATCACAAAAAAAAGGAACCTATCTTAGTACAGAAGACAGCAGGAACATTTGTGTTATCTTCAATCACAGCTACATTCTATTTTGATTAAATATTTTTAAGTAAATGTCTATACTTTTCCACTACATTGGTGCTGTACCTATACAGGGTGTCCCACGGTGGATGGCGTATTAGACGTTTATGGAGAACTAAAAAGCGGATCATTTTGAAAATTTGGCAACCGGGATAAACGACCATGATCTACACTTTAAAAATATTTTTGACCATGCGGTGTTGCCGCTTCTACTTTAAACTAGTGGCAACATCACTATTTTAAATGGAACACCCCATATTAAATTGCATATTTGGATTCTACGTAAAATTCTGAGCAGATTTCATGTGATATACCCTATACCTAAGTTCAACTGTTTTACTATTTTGGAAATATTGACAGTTGAAAATTGACTTTTTGCAACTTTGACAGGCTGTAGAACCTGAACGGTTAATTTTAGAGGAAAACCGATTTTACATTCCTATCTTGGATTTTTATGAACTATCATTTGACACCATCTTTGAATTAAATCCATGATTAAAAATTTCAGTTAAATTTAATCTCCGGTTAAGTTCAAAGTTGGTGTCAAATGATAGTTTATCAAAATCTAAGATAGGAATGTGAAATCGGTTTTCCTCTAAAATTAACCAATTAGGTTTTACAGCCTGTCAAAGTTGCAAAAAGTCAATTTTCAACTGTCAATATTTCCAAAACAGTTGAACTTAGGTATAGGGTATATCATATGAAATCTGCTCAGAATTTTACGTAGAATCCAAATATGCAATTTAATACGGGGTGTTCCATTTAAAATAGTGATGTTGCCACTAGTTTAGAGTAGAAGCGGCAACACCGCATGGTCAAAATTTTTTAAAGTGTAGATCATGGTCGTTTATCCCGGTTGCCAAATTTTCAAAATGATCCGCTTTTTGGTTCTCCATAAACGTCTAATACGCCATCCACCGTGGGACACCCTGTATAGTGGGTTTCTTCTTATTTATAAATTTGTTATCAATGTACAGTTATTGGACCCAATATATTGTTTCGTTCTTAAAATACCAGCTATTGTTTTTTGGGTTTAGGCGGTTTTTGGACTTTGTGAAACAATCCTCTCACATGTAGCACTTGAGTGTGGTTTAGACTACATAAATTTAGCATCACCTCTTTTAAGTTTTGAAACTGATAACCAGAAATATTCGCGACAAAATGCAAAAAACCAACATTATTTAATATCAAACCATAAGATAAAAAAATTATGAGATTTTTACTTGGAAGCATGAGAGCATGAGCTGGACAATGAAAACATGAGATCTCATGTAAAATCATGAGGAATGGCAACGCTGTTGTGGTGCAAACAGTCTATGTCAAAATCAAGGCGAGAAACGACCTGCTGCTACGTCACAAATTGTAATTCCGCGTGGTGGGAAGCTTCAGATTTGTTTCACACAGGCCTTATGAAGTTAGGCTATCCTGTAGTAGAGGATCTCAGAAATGTGTATACAGTGCGGCCGTAAAGTAAGGAATAAATTCAATAATAATTCTTCCAAGCAATTTTTTTAAAAATCCTCGAACACGTCAATTTTATTTTTTGTCGAGCATTTTTTATAAAATAAAATTATTATACAGGATGGTCGCGGAAAAGCTGGACAGGTAGTAACTAATTTTTTTTTAAATGGACACCCCTAATTTTTTTTACATTTTCGGATTTCTGATAAAATTCTTAGGCTTTTTCGTGGAACATGACCTATCTTCAAGTGTTTCTGAAATATTGATGAAAATTGACCTTTTGCAACTTTGACAGGCTGTAAAACCTAAACGGTTAATTTTTATAAACTATTATTTGACACCAACTTTGAATTTAATCTATGATTAAAATTTCCAGTTAAATTTAATCTCCGGGTAAATTCAAAGTTGGTGTCAAATGATGGTTTATAAAAATTAAGATAGGAATGTGAAATCGGTTTTCCTCTAAAATTACCCGTTTAGGTTTTACAGCCTGTCAAAGTTGCAATAGTCAATTTTCAACTGTCAATATTTCCGAAACAGTTGAAGATAGGTATAGGATATGTTTCACGAAAAACACGAATTTTATCAGAAAACCGAAAATGTAAAAAAAATTAGGGGTGTCCATTTAAAAAAATCAAGTTACTAGCTGTCCAGTTTTTCTGCGACCACCCTGTATAAAAATTTTATTTTCTGAAAAATGCTCGACAAAAAATAAAATTGACGTGTTCCAGGATTTTAAAAAAAAATTCTTGGAAGAATAATTATTGAATTTATTCCTTACTTTACGGCCGCACTGTATGTCGTGCGTTCGGTATTTTGATCTGAGTTCTCCGAGCTTGAATTAACCGGTCGTTTATTTAAAAAGTGTACTCGGTGCAGGCTCATTCGCGTTTGTTTAATAAAATTTCGGGCACTCTGATACAGCTTTCAACTGCGCTTCTCGCTTTCTGGTCACATGATTACGGCTCCGCTCAGCACGCTCTGCTCTTTGAGCAAATACCGAACGCAAGAGCCCTTTTCACGTGGCTCTGGTTTAACAAACCGTAACATACCGCTCAAATTCGAGTGGTATCGAAGATGTCACTTTGTAACCGGGTTAGAAAACGGTATGTCATGGCTCTAACCGCCTCGGCGATATGCCGTGCGTTCGTTATTTTGGTCTGAGTTCTCCGAGCTTGACTTTACCGTTCGTTTATTCAAAAAGTGTACTCGGTGTATGCTCATTCGCGTTCGTTTATTAAAATTTCTGGCACTTTTATACAGCGTTCAACTGCTCTGTTCGCTCGCTGGTCACGTGGTTACGGCTCCACTCTGCACGCTCTGCTCTTCGAGCAAAATACCGAACGCAAGGATGGTTACATCGAGCGGTTAGAAGAAAAAAATTAAAACAACGGAGAGCGGGAAAGTTCGGAAAAGTGTAAAAACTAAATAAAAAGTTGTGTTTTGTATATATTATTATACTTTATGAATTTCAAGCCCGAAAGCCGTTTTCCCTTGTATACAGCCTGATTTACGTAGCCCGTGCATTAGAAATTGTTCAGTTTGCAGGTGGATTAGCATAAATACCACCTAATCTACCTGCTAATGCACGGACTTCGTAAATCACCCTGTATTATACTCAAAAGATGTACCAGAGACAATCCCAGTTTACCTATTTGATAGGCTGTTGTAGACTGTAAGTAACGAGAACTTATAAGCTTTAGATATACTGGTTCTAGTAGGTCTTTCCACCCATGGTCCACATCTAAAGCAATGAACGAAAAGAAATTAAACTACAGTACCTACCTTGACATACCGCCCCTAACCGTTTTGGGCGTTTTGTAACCCGGTTAGTTTAAACCGGAGCGACGTGAAAAGGTGTAAGGATGATTAGTTGTATTCCTTTCAAGAGTTTGAAACACTCGAGCTACTCGCTCCGGTGTTCAGTCGCTCCCGATTTGCGGGGAACAGATGCGTGGTGCAACAAACAATTTTCGAAAGGAATAAGCGCGTGAAGCCCCGGAGCTGTTCCGGAGCTCCTCCTAGGTGTGAAAGGAATACAACTACTCTGTGCTAGAACTGCACGAAGGAATTACGGGCAATCTGGAGCTATTCCGGAGTAACTCAAGTTTAAGCACTAAAAACAAAGAGTGCGGAATGGATTACATTCGGGGCATAAAGTTCCGAACCAGTGTCTCAACGCTAATCGAAAACCTGCACTAAATTATTTGTTTTTGTTTGTGCAACATGCGCGCATTTACATCAAAATACAAGTTTTCAATCAAAAATTTGAATCTCTACTACAAAAAGTTCTCGCACTTTTCGCAGTCGTTATCGTTAGTGCGACAAAAAACCATGACGAGCTTAGAAGAAGCCAAAAAACTAGCGGCCTACGCGGCCGTAAACAATCACGTAAAGTCCGGTTACAAAGTGGGCATCGGAAGCGGCTCTACGGTAGTCTACGCTGTAGAGCGTTTGGCTCAGAGATTGCGAGACGAAAAACTACAAATTCATTGTGTACCGACGTCGTTTCAGGCACGACAATTGGTAATCGACCACAAACTGAGTCTCATCGATTTGGATGTGAGCCCCAAATTGGACGTTTGCATCGATGGGGCCGATGAAGTGGATTCCAACCTCAATTTGATTAAAGGCGGCGGGGGCTGTTTGTTGCAAGAGAAAATTGTAGCCAGCTGCGCCGAGAAGCTGATAATTATTGCTGATTACTCTAAAAATAGTGATAAACTGGGAGATCAATACAAAAAAGGCATTCCGATTGAGGTAGCCCCTATGGCTTATGTACCAATCAAAAACCATTTAGAAACCAAATATAAAGGCCAAATTGAATTGAGAATGGCCATAAATAAAGCAGGTCCAGTTGTTACAGATAATGGAAACTTTATTTTGGATTGGAAGAATTTTGAACAAAATTTAGCATGGGATAAAGTCAATCAAGAGTTGATGCTTGTACCAGGAATAGTTTGTACTGGGCTATTTGTTAAAATGGCTCAAAAAGCTTATTTTGGGATGAAGGATGGATCTGTTAAAGTACAAAGGTTCAAGCAATGAGATGGGGTTTTTTTAAAACAATGTTGTTAATTGAAAAATGTATTTTTGTATTCTAAAATAAATGGCTTATTTAAAAATATAATACTTTATTGGATAAGTGCTAATAAAATTTAGGGGGTGCAAGCGCAAACATGAACAGACTTGATATATAGATAAATGAGTTGAGTCTGGTCTATTTTAAACTTGAGATTCAAAAATTCTGTGACACAAAAAAAGCATACACACAAACACTCAATAATACTTTGGGTACCTAATTAATATAAGCTAGTTTTCTTCATAATCCTCAAAAACTCATCCTGGCTTATCTCTCCATCCCCATCTCTGTCAGCTTCATCAATCATTTCTTGTAGCTCTTCGTCTGTTAAATTTTCTCCCAGTTCCTTGGCCACTCTCTTTAAGTTCTTGAAGCTTATTTTGCCAGTTTCATCATCATCAAAAAGCCTAAACGCTTTCAATATTTCTTCTCTGGAATCCTTCTCTGCCATTTTTATCGTCATCAGCTCCTGGAACTCTAGATAGGAGATTTTGCCCGTACCATCCTTATCAATGTCGGCAATCATTTTCTTGATTTCCTCCTTTTTCGGCTCAAAGCCCAGGGCTCGGATCGCCACTTTCAAATCTTTGGAATCGATTTTTCCAGTGCCATCGTTGTCGAACAAGTCGAAGGCCTCGCGGATGTCGTTTTTCTGATCGTCGCTGAGCTCGAATTTGGGTCCCGATTTTTTGCGAGCTGGACCAGCGGATTTTTTCAATACACCAGATGCTGTAGAAGACTGAACAATCTGTGTTTATTGTTAATGTAATAGGTGATATACCTGTGTACTTACCATTGTTACTCGAGACTAGTTAAATTAATAGGAACATTATTTAATATTTATAATTCTATTCGTAGTTTTGTTGATATTGATGTTCGATGGGCAGGCAGGCAGGCAAACTCCGCAAACAAAACAATTCGTTTTTTTTATGAATTACCACACTACACTACTCTAGAGAAAGGCTTATTGATTATCGAAACGATAAAACATCGATGTGCCCTCAAATATACGCTTTGTTGTTTCACTCTAGAACTAGTTCGGAATCTTGCACGTGCACATGTAAAAAGCGTTTTCGTTTTTTTAGCACGTAATCGAACTGTACCTGCGTTTTCATTTTACTGCTGGATCCACTATTCTATTTATGTCGGTCATTGTCATTTTCCATTCACTAAACAGAGATAGCTAATTTATCGGTGAAGTCACCGTCCACCGATTAGAATAAAAACGAGGGGTGTGTTGTATTGACAGCGTTTTGGATTATTTTAGAACAAGAACAACTCTGGGATTATTCCAGAACGGTTCTCTCAGTTCTTGCTCTGAAGGAAGAACTGTTTTGGAATTTTGTGATTTGCGATTTTTTGCTTTTTTTTTTATCTCGAATCGGTTTAGAAGAGTATTAGAACTCAAGGTTCCTAAAGATAATAGGTTGTCTGGTAATGGGTAGTTTGATGACGCATCTGGGATGCCTTATGCAGATTTGCATTATTGTTAGGCATTTAGATGACGTCATGAAAGTTATTAGGCTGGGACTCTGTAACGAATACAAAATTTTCTCTATCTCCATTGACGTCCCCTCTCTATTGATTTCAAAAAGAGGGAAGAAGACAGCAATTACCATAGCAATAGGGATAACGGTTTCCATCCGTTACAGAGTCTCAGTCCGGACTGGGACGTCATAACATTGTCGTCAGCTGTTTGTACAGCCTACGTCAATGAACTATAGCTAAAAACTGGAATGCGCACACATTGCCATATCTGCCGAAAAAATGAAGCCATGAAAGACAGATGCCACAAGGGGGAATGTTGTCTTTTTCTGTTGCTCGCTGACATATGACGTTTTCGAAAGTTTTGTCATATTTCCCTTCACAGGTTTCATCAATTGGAATACGTGTTGGAAGCAATTTTCGCCATTTAACATAGTGAGTGCGACAAAAACAGGTATCCCCTCCGCAGCAGCCGCACTAGGCTTCAAGTTCGTCCTTATGTGTTAGCATTCCAGTTTTTTGTTATAGTTCATTGGCCTACGTCAAGGCGAGAAACGCCATGCTGCTTACGTCACAACTGGTTGTTTGACAGGGGGGATTTGTTACACACAGGCCTTATGAGGATAGGCCATCCTGTAGTAGTAGTGTGTATCATCGCTGCAGACAACCTACCTCTCTCTAACAACCTTGATAAGAACGGTCCTCCATTATTTTTTAAAAAGTAGTAAAGTAATAATATGATGATGGATATCGATACGAATTTGTCATATCTTTCTCATATCGACATGTATCGATCGGGATCAAAATTAACACCATCGGTGGCGTTCATCAAGACATTCTTAATTGATCGGTAGCATAAAAATAAATAGATAGAAAAAATGGCGTCCGCTACGGATGAACGTCATACTCTACTACAACAGGGTTGCGGTTAGAAATAGCACTCTGGATGTGAGAGTGACCCTAAACCGTTCATAAATTAACCGGTGCTTACTCGGAGTGTTACGCTGGAATCGTTCAGAAATCGAGAGTTGACGTGCCCAGAGTGCGCTCAAATTACCCCACTCAGGGACTGGGTTGAAAAACGCACCGCGGTTTTTACCGGGTTTGACGTTGATATCTATCCCAATTACGTTCAGAAAACGCGCACCCAGAATGCACTCCAAGTGATGACGTCAGAACACTCTGACAAACAACTACTCTAGCTTCACACTCCATTTCTAAATGCACTCCAGTAGGCATATGGCCTGTGTAGTTCAAATCTCAAGCCCCTTACCATGCCAATGCACCAGTGATGAGTGTGATGACGCAGGCAGCGTGTTGTTTATCGCCTTGACGAAGGGTGTTTGGACCACATGATTATGATTCCGAGGGGTTTTGCTTTATGCATACTTGAGCTATTTTCTCGCGTTCACTTTTTTGAAAGTGGTTCAAAACAGGTTTAAAACAGTATATTCTTGCGACGAACCCAAGACGTCACATCAAAATTGGCTAAAACCTTTTTGAAATACAATTTAATCCACGTTTTCAAACCATTTTCTCGCGCCGAGCAGCTATGACGTCATATGACACTGTTTTAAACCAATTTTTAAAAACGTTTTAAGACATTTGAGACCCGAGAAAACACCTTTCGTTTTACTACATTAATTAACATTCTAAAACAACTCTTTTATAAATCTCGTTTGCATCTTCCTCTTTGCCTAATAGGTTAATCAAAATTGAACAATATTTTTGATCATAAATTTAAATTCTAAAGTACGACCGCTGGCTCCATAGGCTGGCGCAAACAGCTGACGACTTGGTTTAAGACGACATCAACGGTGCTATACCTATATGGCCGTGATCTGATAAGCAATCCTTGTAGTGTGTATTAAGGATCCCACACACGGTTCGCTTACCGCTGTGGACATATCGCTACCGCCATATCGCCCATAAAATTGCAATTGCTTGAGAGGGCAGGGAAGAGGAAAAGCGAACAGTTCAATTGCGTGACACTCTAATGCGAATGCCTATAAACAGCCCGGGGCGCTCTAGAGTAGCTAAGGAGTGCTTTTTTAAAGTGCGTCACTGGAAAGCGACTCTGCTCGAAGAAAGAAAAAAAGCAGTACAAATGAACACCTTTCTCATAGCGCTCTCGACTTTCGCCTCAAAGCTGCACACGATTGATCTAAAAGTGATCCGAAAAGAATTCACATATTCAGCTTGAAACGGAGTTGCTCTCGGCTGGATTCACGTGTTCGACTTGAGCACTATAACGCTCTCAAATGTCACACGGAGCGCTTTTTCTTGCTTTGTCAAATCGATTGATCAAAGAATATAATCAAGACCCGGATCAAAACAATAAAGTACGTTCTGCTATTGATTTGGAATGGTGTGCTCTCGCTTCAATTATGATAGCTCTCGAAGCACTCCCGTAGAGTTTTGTGACGTCACCGCCTAGACGAATAATAACGCTCTGGGAGCAGTAAAGCAGAAAATGTTATAAGTTCCGCAAATAAAAAATTCATGATTCCTATAATTGAATACTAAACTGATAATAGGAAAAATATTAAATAAAACCCAACAGCGAATTTCAATAAACGAACTCTTGCGTCCTGACCTATCGCCATTTTGGTGGAGGATTTTGGTGTCCATTTAATTACTGGTGCGGCAGTTTTTACCCCGAGTGCAACAAGTAGCACAACATTTGAACTCAATAGCCGAACATACTATTATAGTTTCGATCAGACTCTGATCCATCGAATTTGTCGGAGCAAGAAAGAGCGTTCCGTGCGAGATTTGAGGAGCAGTGGTCGAATGAGCAACGCGCGTTTATGGTCAAGGGCCAAAGCATTTTTATCGAACGTTTTATGTCGTGGCGACCCAAGGACATTACACACTACTACAGGATTGCTCATCAGCCTCGTCTTTTGGAATCATGTGGCGACAATTGCTGTCTCATTTTTGATTGGTTCTAAAATCCCATATATTTATATTAAAAACGCCGCCATCTTGTTCCCAACTCCTTGTTACTTTTAAAGATGAATATATGGGATTTAGGTGAACATTTATCATAAATCATGGAAAACAACGTATTTGATGGACCTAATAATGGTCATCAAATACGTCGATTTCAATTTTTTATGATAGATGTCCATTTAAGGGTGGGTATTATAAAACTGCTCTGACAGTTAACTTAAAGTTAACTTTTTGAATTACATGTAATTCCAGAAGTTAACTTTAAGTTAACTCTCAAAGTAGTTTTATAATACCCGCCCTAAATTCTATAATAATATTTAAAAGTAACAAGAGGTTGGGAACAAGATGGCGGCGGGACCTCTATTGTCGCCACTGTATGTAAAGGTTTAGTTAGCCACTGTAGCAAAAGCCAGCGGAATCATAGCCTGTGGTTGCAAACATCTCAAGGATAATACACACTACTACTACAGGATAGCCTATCCTCATAAGGCCTGTTTAGAACCAATCTGAAGCACCCCACACGTCAAATCACCAGTTGTGACGTAACAGCATATCGTTTTTCGCCTTGACGTAGGCTGTTTGTACCACAAGATTATAATTCCGCTGGCTTTTGCTTTATGCATACTTGGTTTTATTACATTAATTAACATTCTAAAACAACTATTTTTCAGGTCTTGTTTGCATCTTCCTATTTGCCTATTATGTTATGCAAGATTAAGGGTGGGTATTATAAAACTGCTCTGACAGTTAACTTTAAGTTAACTTTTTGAATTACATGTAATTCCAGAAGTTAACTTTAAGTTAACTCTCAAAGTAGTTTTATAATACCCACCCTAAATAATATTTTTCATCATAAATTTCAACTTCAAACTACGACGACTGCCGCAAACGGCTCAAGGATAATGGACGCTACTAAGGATTGCTTATCGGCCTCGTTTTTGGTAATCGCCGCCATATTGGTGTATCAGCATTTCCGACGACTTAAAATAATGGACAAAGAGGATGATGACAACGAGATCTAAAAAAGAGTTGTTTTAAAATGTTAATTAATGTAGTAAAACAATGAGTAAAACCAAGTATGCATAAAGCAAAAGCCCGGGGAATGATAACCAGTGGTGCAAACAGCCTACGTCAAGGCGAGGAACGACATGCTGCTATGTCACAACTGGTGATTTGGTGAGGCAGGGCACCCACCGTGGGGGGCTTCAGATTTGTTCCACACAGGCCTTATGAGGATAGGCTATCCTGTAGTAGTAGTGTGTATTATCGTTGCAAACAGTTGACGTCGCTGACGAATTAGTTAATGACGTCCCAATGGTCAAGGTTCCTAAAGTAATAAGTAACCTCTCTCAAACAACCTTGGCCAATGGTGATACACAAATATGGCGGCGATTACCAAAAACGAGCAGTCACGATATCCATGCTCATACCGTTCCGCTCCGTGGAGTGCTAAGACGAACTCAGCCTTGAATTATGTTTGCAAAAATGGCGACCGTTTGTAAAACATGTAAGGTTTCATCACAAATTCAACGTGGGGTTTAGCATAACAATAGCAAAGCGTTTACCAACGTTTGTATCTGGTGAACGTGGCCAATAACCCATTGCCGCTTTCTAATATGGGAGTGTGACGCTCGGAGTTACTCGGAGCGTTGAGCCCCCGAGCTATACATACGGACAAACGTCACACGTCATTACCGGAACGGACAAATCTAGTGCGTGGCGCTCTAGAGCGCGCCAATGTGCATACTATGGAAAGCTTTGAATATAAAACTGCAGGAAAGAGCATAACTTCGAATCTGTGCGACCAAAATATGTGGATGTTGCATATGGCCGACTAGTATTTCCGGTTTGGCAGTGGCGTATATTTATTTAAATATGATTGTCAATATTATGACCCACTCTTTTCTCACTAATCCCAGTGCCTATTATCACTTAAAAATGTTAAAATCCATTAAATATCCACTTGAATGAGGACACAGCGAACCACCAAAACAAATGATGAGTCCATACTTGGAGGCTCAATATGGCCGTTTCCGTCTCTGCGTTGTCTGTAATGACAGATAGAAAACGCTCCTTCCTGTAGTTTTATATTCAAAGATGGAAAGCAGCTCATAAATAATCATTTCATTGCCATAACACAAACGAACGCCCCAAAACAGAAAGAGCTGCTCCGAACAACACAAAAAACAAATCTGTTGTCAATCGTCGTGATAAAAGTTTTTTTGGACCTATAGTTCTAGAACCGACTCGAGTTGAATTTGGATTGTCGATTCTGCATATCACAGTCAAATTTTGTTTTGAATTTGAAAATGTCTCACCAAAATTTTTATTCTTGAAATGGAATCTGTTAAGGCGCGCTTGGAGTAAAATATTGATGCCGTTATACACGAGCTTTGTTCCAAAACTAGGAAACCGGACAATGTACCGTCACAATTCTGCAGAACACGGAAAAACCCAAAATTCGTGCGTGGAATCCAAAATTCGTACACTTGAGTGGTTTCGAAATTGTTCATGGGACGGTTTTTTGACGTGTTGGAACAAACCTCGAACACAAGTGTCTTTAATTTTGGACGTTTAATCGCTCAATAATAGATGGCAGTGCAATTTTATCAATAACTTGGAGTAATTCTCATTCGTTCTAGTCAGATTATAATACATTCGGATTATAAGAAATATGAAAGCTATCCATCCCAGAACAATTATTTGACGTTTTCTTTCGTCGAAAAATAGCCCTAGTGCAGCTCGAACCAACACTTTGGAACGAGGTCAAATGACTGTTGCACTGGTTCTTAATATTTCAAGAGTAAAAATTTCAGTGCATTCCTTGTTCGCGGTTCATCTAAAATTCGTTCCCAGATCGATTCTGAGCTAGTTCCGTTCGTAATAAGTTACCAGATCCTAATTTCTGAACCAGCAATCGATTATTTGTAACATCACATTAAATATCGACCAAAAACCATCGTTGTGACGTAATAAAAGTTAAATGCGTAGTTGTAGAAAAGGCAGTTACTTTTTGTTCTAATTTTATCCTTATCCAGTAAAGATACAAAGAATAGAAAACGTGTCAGAAAAAAGATCGTAGGATTCTTTTTATATTTACAGTTTCCTTTTTATGTCGATAAAAGATGTCGCTATGGGTGCGATTAGAAATGAAAATTATCGAATCGTGGTATTCGTGCGACATCGCGTCGCACGTAAGCAACGTGATTGGCCACGAACAAGCCCGATCGGGTCAATGTCTGAGCGAGCATCGAAAAATCTGATGGGTAGGTGAAGCCCGAGTTCTGCGAAGAAAAAAAAAATGGTTTGAAAATCGAGAAAATAGAAAATCGACGTGGTGAAATGAATTGTCGATGCTAGGACCGTTGGGGTGTTCTTTGGCGAGTTTTCCCTTGCGCGTAGAAACTGTCCGGGAGGGCTGCTAATTGCGATCGAAGTGGTGCAAAAGGGAAATGTGATAGGTGTACGGGATTGTGGGGACTCTAGTGCTTAAGGAAGGATGAGCGGTCGACCGAGAACAACGTCCTTCGCCGAGGGCAACAAGCAACCTTTAAATCCCCCTCTGGGAGGCATGAAAATCAGCAGTAAGTACCTGCACCAAAGAAAAGTTCCCCACGAAAAATTTATCTCTCCTGTGCGCACCAACATGGCCGCTACTCCTGTCAAAATTCGACCCAAGAATATCCTTCTTGAATTAATTCCTAACTTGAGACGATTTAGAACAAGCTTATTGTAGATTTTGTAAAGTAAAGGCTTGGCCCCCTACAGGCCAACAGCTGCCAATTCAACTTGAATACCAATCTTCATTGTATTCACCCAATTCCTTTATCCTTTCTTGCACCCCCTTGTTCAAAAAAAGAACCTATTTCATCAGTTTAATCATTATTTACAGGCTTCTGTGGCTTAGCATAATTTTTATGATTCTTTGATTGGGCCTTATTGCTACATCTACAAGGCTGTGGAGAAGAATTTATGCTTCCGTGCTCCAATTTTTAAGTAGGCCACTCCCAATAATTCAAGACACATTTTTTTGTCTTTCATCCGAAAGTTTCAGGATGATTTATTGGATTTTATTGAAATTAGTAATCAAATTAGATAAGTTGGCTGGGTGCATCAATACTCCATCATTAATTTAATCACTTATCAAAAATTTAGGATTCTTACTTTTAAACGTATTAAACTGATCAAGTCAGTATACCATTTTTGCTGTGAATAAATTAATTGAAAAAGACTGTTGACTACAATGAGCCAATTCAGCCAATCAAATAAATTTATTGGAGATTGCAAAGGTAGCTAATATAAACCTACTAGAAGTTTACTAATTTATTTATCTACTATCTTAATAAAGGGAAAATCCAGTTTTCCTCCCTTATTTTGGGGAGAAAAGGGGCACTTTTTATTTCTAGAGAGACAAAGTTCTTTGTCTACAGAAGTAAAAAGAATCTACAAAAGTTTAGTGAGTAGGTAGGTACCACACTGAAAAACTGTCTATGTAATGAATGGATTCTTTTACATGGAAAATGTTGTGTTTAGTAGTTTAGGTCATACGAGAGGTCATAGTATGTAGCTAAGTTTATATAATATGTCACTTCACAGACTGTAGCTGATAAGTATGTAATTGTCAACTAGTTTGTCATGTTAATTCTAGATTATTAGAAAGTTCAATAAATAGTAAGAATGTGTGTGTTTAACATATTTTACTAAAAATACACAACAGAAAAGACTTGTGTTGCTGAAAAACTGTCTAGTTACATTTACCTTTCAAGAAACCTTTCAGGTCTCCAGAGGAATTTAGAAAATAGCCCCTCTGCTTTGTATTACTCTTAAATGTCATATGTGCAACATCTTTTCATTGCAGTGTAGACCAATTAACCAGAGATATCCTGAGAGATGTGGTAAGACTTTTGATTGCTTGATTACATATTCTCACATTTCCTGGTATCCTGCAAGGATCTTGAGATAAAAATTAACTACCATAATTAGGTAACATCAGAATGAGAATCATTGATGCTTGGAAGTTAAGAAAGATCCACATTATTGGATGATAAATAAATGTTTATTCACACAAAACATAAGATCAGTGGCGGCTCGTGGTGTCCAAGTAAGGGTGGGCGACAAAAATAAAAAACAGCCATGGGCAATTTTTTTTAGATTTTCAAGGTCGCGGCGTTTTCAAATATTGTATTAAAGCAAAGATAATCCTACTCCGAAGTAGGATTATCTTTGATTAAAGGTATTTCTTATTTTTCCATTTTCTCTCCAGGGTGGCGGTGCCCACCTTGCCCATATGGGCGAACCGCTACTGCATAAGATTAACCTAACAAATTATATATTTATCATTTATTAATATATAATATATCACATAATTTCAAATAACTTGGTAAAATGGACATTTTAGGTATTACTCTGCGTCTCTTTTTTTTTGTCGAAGTTTTTGTTCATTCCAGACGACTCTTAATCACTCACAATGCCTACAAAATTTACGAGATTCTAGGAAAAGTTTTTAATCAATTGAAATCATATCTAGGGATATGATACTTCCTAGGTGTAAGAGAGAGCAGGGTGAATTTAAATGCACAGAATAAACATAAACATAAACATAATCTTTATTCATGCTGATACACCTACATCATAGTGTTTACATACGTCAGGAGGAAAAAAAATTTGATACAACATTTAAGAAAAAGTTGAAAACAATTTTTCCAGAACTAGCTAATAAATATTCTATACAATATTGAACAGAGTACCTACCTGTATACTATTTATAATAATTCTTATATTATACTATTTATATAAACATTTGCTAAGTGCAGCTATAAGATGTCTGAGAAGTTATCTTCAACCAAGTAAAAGCATTTTTTTATTAAGTAAGTTTTAACAATGATGGTAAATTTTTTAGGAGGTAACACTCTCACAGTGGCAGGCAGGGCGTTGAATAATTTTGGTCCATAGAATGATAGAATAATAATGACTACAGCAGGCTTCATAGTTGGGTGTTGCCAACTATCCTTATTCAGTAAAAATAATTGGCAACTCTGAACCAAGTTTTGCCTTTGTTCTCGCCTTTGTTGGTTCCAAGCATTTAAACTTGTTTGCACTCTCTCTAACACATAAAGAGTATACTAGAATAAAATTTAATCTTGTTCAACCAACCTGTATATTTTCTTAATTTTCGGTCATTAGATTTTTTTCTGTTTATAGGGACCAGTCACAAATTGAAATTCCCGACCCCTAGTGAGAGATGTCAAAAGTTTTTGTATTAATAGTTTGTCAAATTTTCGAATGTAATACCACAAGAGGTTTTAGGATTACCGAATAATACTTTTACCTGTCACGAAACGCGTAATGCGTTGAGTGTCAGGTAAAAGTTATTAGGTAATCCTGAAACATCGAGTGGTATTCAAAATACAACGAACTAAAATTTAATACTTCAAAATTTAAAAAAAAAATTCATAATAGAATTTGCCATAAATGCCACCAAGCGCGATAATCCCAAAAGGCTTATCACTTATTAAGCCTCTCGTGTCATATGGGAATAATGTACAGTGAGTTGTATAATCACTAGAATTTCGAAAAATGGAGCTGGAAATACATACAACGAACTAAAATTTAATACTTCAAAATTTAAAAAAAAAATTCATAATAGAATTTGCCATAAATGCCACCAAGCGCGATAATCCCAAAAGGCTTATCACTTATTAAGCCTCTCGTGTCATATGGGAATAATGTACAGTGAGTTGTATAATCACTAGAATTTCGAAAAATGGAGCTGGAAATACATTTTGGTTTCCAAAATATAAAATTTAATCACCACGAAGCTGCATACAAAAAAGGTGTGGCTCTAGTGAAAGCTAAACATGTATTGCAAGTAGTTGAACGAGATTTTGGAGGGGACTTATCCATTTTGAAAGGGCGCCAAACCTCCATAAACAGCTCTCCTTATGCTGTTGAGCTAGGTATAACAATAAAATGGACGCTACAAATCCTTGACTGTCTTTCTGGCTCCCACATTTTACTATTTTTTGAATTGGATCTTAAAACAATAAAAAGTAAAGTAACTACAGGCTTTTTTTTCCCGAAGATAGATTTTGACATCCTCGACTTTGAAACATAAACAATGCCACTTATTGGTCGGAACATGCCATTTGCACTGATAGCAATTTCCATTTGTCGAACCAGTGTAAACTTTTTTTATCCTTATCCTTACATGTTACATGCTTTTAGAAAAAGATGCGGATAAACTTACTGCGCACTGACTGGCAAATGGAAATCACCATGATGTCAACCTGCAGGGACACCTCATTTTGCGACCAATCAGGGCCATGAGGTATTGTTTACGTTTCAAAGTTGAATGTCAAAATCTATTTTATGAAAAAATAGAAAATAAATCAATACGAAAACTCAGTGTATAGTTCCTGTGGCTTTCCTGATCATGGGACCAACTAGGAAAACTGTAGAAGTGAACATTTCCACTTGTGTTGGCATAATTATTGCCCCAGTTAACAACACAATAATTTGTGAAACTGTTCCTGGGTAAAGGCATGACAAGTAGTGGGTATGCACAATAGCCTGTAATAAAAGATAATAAAAAGCGTTTGGCAAATAATAATTACAAGAAAAAAAGTGAAATTATATACAATTGTTCCGTGTAAACAATCATACCTTTATAATGAAAAATATTTCGTTTTGAAATCGTTTTTAATAACAAAAATTACATTTGTGTAAATGGAATCAAGCACTTGTCATAATACAAGAACTTACATTGCTGTCGAAAGAGGGTGCTACTGTAGTTTATGGACGGACTCTATACCATTGTGATAAAAAAAAAGTAGTACAAAAATTATTAACTCCAATTTGAGCTCCCGGTGTAAGATACAAAATTTTGACAGTAAATAAACATTTCAAATGTTGAGTTCGGGCAACGACATATTCAAGGTTAAAAAACAGTTGGGAAAATGTCAAAATAATGTCATTCGAAGCTTTCCAAGTTAAAAACTTGTCAAAAATGCCAAAATAATATCATTTTTGGTTATAAACTAGATTAATGTATAATAGACCAGGAGATTTTGGAGATTTTTGTAATATACACAGTGATTTACGTAGCCCGTGCATTAGAAGTCCAGTTTGCAGGTGGATTAGTAGAAATAGCATTTAATCCACCTGCAAGCTAATGCATGGTTTACGTAAATCACCCTGTATACTACTTTTTGTTCTCAATAGTACCTATTTGAATTGGGTCTCAAAATAGATCCATAATATTGAGTATGTATTTTTTAGCACCTAAATATTTAGAAATAATGTTAAGTTTTAAATTTTGTGTAGAATTGCATTCTGAGGGTGGGTTTCCCACTAGCGAGTCACCTCCAGGTTGGTTTAAACTCCAGGGTAAACATGTCCAGTTGCAATGTTTGCCCTGGAGTTATGCTTAACCCGGGACTGACTTGCTATTGAGAAACCGGCCCTCAGATTGTTCACCTTTTTTCATTCAAACCCCATGCAAAGTAGAGTTGAAGTACGTATTAAATTAAAAAAAATACCAAAATCAGAGCTATTAGCCATATACACTTCATTTTTCCCAAGATAG